TTTGTAATGCATTGAATAATTTTAAAATAACTAAGTGTAAATGTCAACCATATTAAAACAACATGTCATGTTTAAGACTCCTGTTCCTACCGTCAAGGTCACACTTACAGTTTGAAGGTACTCATTCTCTTTAGAAGAGTTTGAAGATACACATTCATGTCTGAAATGTGACTTTGTCATGCATTAAAGGATTTTAAAATAACTTGCCACATCAAGATGATGTGTCATGGCTAAGGCGCATGTCCGGACATTACATTTGTCATGCATCGAAGGATTTTAAAATAACTTTGCACATCAAGATGACGTGTTGTGTGTAAGACCCATGTTCCCACCTCCATGGTTAAGGTCACAATAATAGTTTGAAGGTACTTGTGTTCATAAGAAGAGTTTGAAAGTACACATTAGTTTCCAAACAGTAACATTGTCATTCATTGAAGGATTTTAAAATAACTTGGCATAAATAGCACTTCATTTCATAAGAACAATATTAAGCAATTTAAGTTACTTTCAGTCTCTTTTTTTATCATAATACTTGCATGCTTAAAGGGACTCCACTGAGGTTTAAAAGTCTAAAAACATAACATTTGAATTTCTTACAGAAATGAGCTGGGGCACTTTAAACAGTGATATATGCAAAGATAGTTAAGAAACATACCTTGAAATAAATTAAAAATCGTATTTTTATGCTTTTCTTAGCCTAATTTGAGTGAAAAGCGTTTAAATGCTTTTCAGTTAGGGTCAGTTTTTTACAATTTGAATAATTATTCTGGAAAAACGGTGTGCGCAAATGATCTGAAATTTTGCACAAAGATTAATGGTATAAACTTACATCAAATGGTACAATTATCTGGAAAAAATATTTTCAGTCCCATCATGTAAAAAAACCTCAGGGCATTCGTCACTTGCGTGACAGCTCTTGTTCAGTATTTTTTATTCCATCAAAGACATTAGGCATCCTTTATCAGTGATACATTCAATAACTTTTTATATTCCATTTATTGTAAGCAAATGTGCATATACAATGTATAATATATCACTGTATCTGCACAGACCACTTGCATAAAACAAAAGAATGCATTAAATGAAAATTTTGCCCTTGCCAACCTTTAATTGTAAAATGAAAAAAAAAATTCTGCAAAACAGTAAAATTTGAACAACCCTTTAACAAACCATATTATTTTTCGGTTTTAGGAAACAATTTTTACTGTAAAGGCATTAAATAAACATATTTATTAAATTTAAAAGTCCTTAAGTCACGATAATCAATGAATTTAGTCTCGACCATGAGTTAAGACTTGGATATGCACTTGTGTGCAAACTAACTGGAATTGATATCAAGTCAATTGACCGAAATTAGTAGACATTGATAAAATATTGTAAACCTGTCCTGGTGTTGATGTTTTACTTTTTTTAGCTCTTAAATTGGTCGAAATTTATAATGTAAGATATGGTTGATTTTATTATTGTATATAAACCAAAAAAAATCTATGCCAAGAGCTCTCAAAGAGCTGGTGCCGCACCTCCATGTACGCAGTCGTTTGACCTGAGTCTATACAGTTGGCTAACCAATATATAAACCTATAGATCTGATGTGTTCCGGAAATAGGCAAGTGAGGTTTTTTTCCCATCTTATCCTGGGGTATAAGCAAACTATTTTATGTCCAAGATTCACTGTTCACATATTACCTTTAACAATAGAGTGATTACCATGTTGTGCTTATTAATGATATATTTAGTAAGTTTTATTACATTCTTTTTCGGTGGTTTATAGAAATATATCAGTGAAATATAAAACTGATATACTCACTGTTTGAAACAGTGAAATTATCAATTTGGTAATTTCACTGTTTTGAATTTTAAGCCCCTTTAAAACGTTGTTTCAGTGAAATACCAGCGTGCACAGTGCTGGAAACCAGCTTAATGACGTGACGTCGTAAATGACGTCACGTTGTATTATTCATTGGCGCGCTTTAAGTATTATGTTAAAATGTCTTTCTAAACGTTTCTTTGCATATAATAAAAATAAAATTTGTTTAGTTTAGTGTAAGATTGAAATCTAAATTACTGTATCATATAAAAAACTATAACACATTTGTTCCTCACTTTATAGGGTACAATTATAGGGAATGATGTGTGTGCCTTTTTAACTTTTTTACATGAAAACAAGTAGTTCTTGATTTAGAAAATATTATAAAATTAATGTATATTTATTATTATGGTTTATGAAGTAAGGGAAACTTTTTGAAAAGTTTATAGTGTCTGAAATTGCCAAAAATCTTATGTTTGTTTCTCAGAAATTTTACCTATTAAAGTGAAACTCCAGGTAAAATGCAGGACTGTTTTTATAATAACCTCCCTGAAAACTAACAAAAGACACCACTAAATTCAAAGCACTACATTGGCCCCATGGCAGAGTGGTTAACAACTCAGACTAGTTATCTAAGGATTGCTAGCCACGTGGGTTCAATGTCAGGAGCTAGCAGTTGTTTCCTTGAGTACGAAACTTTTAGACTGATTGCTATTAGTACTGGTTGGTAATCCAGGAATAGATTCGAGAGTGTTTCTATAAGCTTATAGCTTCGAACACAATCTAACTAAAATAAATTAGTACAAAGTAAAGCACTTCAAGACCCGAGTACACAATTTCAGCGCATTTAAGGGACAAAAATCATTACTATCAAAATGATAGTATTTTACGGTAAATATCTGGCTTACAGCAGGTGCATTCTGTTGACAGTTTCTACTGAGATATCTTAAGAGATTCGGTGATAATAAATGACTTGTTTTAAAAGGGAATCTTATTGTATTCACGCTGAAAGAACTGTCTTGTATTATCATGAGAACGTCAATACAACAGGTTTAATAATCAATAAAAGGAGTATAAAAAAAAAACGTGCACAGTTCTCTCTTGTTATGGTAAAATTGATGTTCATGTCTTTATTATAATTTGTTTTTATTCAATAATGAATGCAAAGGATTTTGTGACAGGTTGTTCATAGAATAGAAGCTATAATTTTGTTGGATGAAATTTCATTTACCAGTATTTATTTGATTTTTTTTATTTTATTTTTCATTTTTGTTAAGTGTTGGATTCATGATTGTTTGTCGCCTAATTGGAAATAGTTAAAAGATATTAAAAATTCAGTTGAATGTGGAAATAGTGTAAGTAAATTGTAAATAATAATATTTATCAGTCTGATCATATTCATGATATTGTAATTTTTTTAAGTTTTATACTTATTTAAAGCTGCATGCCTGCAGATGAGCAAAAATATTTTAACAATAATCAAACTTAAGAAAAATGTACTAAGATTTTAAAGGATACAAGTAGTAATTTATATGTTATATGTGATCAATGACTGATTTTGCAGTAATTTTCATCATATTTCTACTGCCTAAATTTAAAGCAGCAAGGGCTCTGATTTTTGCATATTTTGACCTCTTATTTGGTAAATTTACATGGATTGTAAGTGGTGTTTGCAATGTGTAAATTAATCATTTTCTTCACTTCACATCATTTTACAATTTTTAATGAAAACAAGAATGAATCTGTAGGCATGCTGCTTTAAAACTACAGAGAATATAAATTTTGTCATTGTTTAGATAGTTTCTATTCATTGAGGTAATGTTTCTATTCATTGAGGTAAAAAGGTTTTGAAACATAAGTGAAGTTAGTGGAATATAATAATGTCCTAGTATTTTGATTATGGTTTAAGATAGCAAGCAAATACAGAGATACTAGATAAGGGGAGGTAACTTACTATACAATTCATGACTTGATCAACAAGTTTGTAGAATATTTACTTCATTTTAGTTCTGAAAATTTCTTAAATGGACTTATCCTGAGCGTCAATTTTTGGAACTGTTCATTATCAGTTTTTGGTGATTATCAAGATGAAAGTGGTTTGAAGTTTACAACCTTAACCACTTGGCAATGGAAGCCCCTAAATAAATTCATTAGCTCAGCTAGATTAATCATGTAGAGCTCTTGGCTAAGGTTTTTGTAGCATTTGTTTTTTCTTGGGGTCCATTTAGAATTGGCTTTGAAAAAAGTAACAATTCTTGTTATGCTTCAGATATGCTTTTATTTTTAGGATCTAAAAGGTTACTAATAACATTTTTCAAGAACATTGATTTCTTTTTCTTCTGTTGCTTTTTGGCAATTAATACAATTAAATTGATTGAGTATTTTGTATGGAAGTCATTAAGTACTACTTTGTTTACATTTGCTAAATACATGACACATTATAAATTTCAAATTGAGTGCTACTTTCTTCAGGTTACAAGCATCTGACATTGAAAACTAGTGATTGGCCTGTTTCTAAAGAAGTAAAAATTTATACCTGTCTGCAGCATACTGTGCTTTTAACTTCTTTAAAACAAAAAGGAATACCCTAAGATACTTAGTGTCTATGTATTTAGTCAATAACTGAGCCTCATGTTAAGAGCAAATTGCATGAATAAATAATGTCTATATCACTAAATAATTTACATGTATACATACTTTCATTTTTAAATCACTGTACTGTGTGTACCATTATATATCATTATCGCATGATGCTGCAATTTTTCTTTGATGTTCCTAAACTGTTACCAGGTCGAGAACATTTTCTGTTGATCATACCCAGAGATGCAGCCCTATGTGCAGAAATGATCAATATTTTCTAATAAAAAATTTGAGCGTAGTATATCTTTAAGACTGAATAGATGTGCCAACTACATTATGCTTATGGTTTTCAAAAGTGGTTATTTTAACAGATGCGCATTAACATTGCATGTAGTGCTTTTGATTGCTTTTTGGTAATGAGTTATACTAGTTAAAATAATGAGTATCTTTTATGGAAGTCAAAATACCACATGTTATAAAAAGCTTTATAAACATGTCTCTTAACAAATCTATGCCCCCTTTTAAAGAAAAAAATATCTGAGCCATAAAAAGCCGCAATGAAAATTAAATGATTTTTTTTTGTATATACATACAATGTATTTATATATTTCAGAGAGAAAGAAGTGGATAAGGAAAGAAAATTACGACAAGAAGCCGAGGACAAACTTCAATCTTGTTTACAAGACATGTACAGTAGTAAGGAGGTCAATCAAGAGCTGAGGGAACGACTACCGAGGGCAAATAAGTCAGATCCATTTAAGACAGTACTAAATGAAGAGTCTGAAACAGACCTGAGTTCTATTGAGGAGCAGATTGTTGTGGAGGAAGAGGACAGTAAAGCTTCCAGGTGAGTTTGATTTTTTTAGTCCAGGTTTTTTAGAAGTATGCAATTTATTTTGCTGTGTTTGTTTTACCACATTGACATCTGTATAAAGTCTTGTCCATGAGAAAATTGTTAACTAATCTATGTGTTATATATGACGTACTACCTCCATTTGACTTAGAAATCAAAAGGGGCATCAGTGGCCAGGTGGTTTAGGGTCGCTGACTTCAAATCACTTGCCACTCATGGATGTGGGTTTCAGTCCCGAGAAGGACTTTGGATTCTTTCATGTGAGGAAGCTAATTGGGTGCCTGTTTGTGCCTGAAATAATGTATGGAAGGGCACCAGAGGTCTTCCTCCATCAGTAAAGCTGGAAAGTCCCCAAATGATTTATATTGAGGTGGGATTTAAACCCCAACCAAAAAAACAAACAAAAAAACAAGTTTACTATTGTCATGTACCTCTCTGGGCATCATACTGATAATCTTTAAATAACACACTGCACCTACTCAATGTGACTTGTAGTGATCTGCATGGGGCAGAAAACCAATACATAAGACAGTTCAATAGTATTTTCTTCTGTTACTTTTTAAATATTTCGTTACCAAAAAAACCCCACATTTTTTCCTTAGAAAATATTATATTATGTTTGTGTTACTCACTAAAATAAGCAGACTACTCTTTATTCCATAAAAAAAAAACACACAAAAAACAAAATAAAAATAAAAACAACGAAATGTTTTAAAAGTTATGGAAAGCAAAATACTACCTGAACCATCTTTTGTTTTTTTGTTTAGCTGCCCCACACAGATCTGAGTAGTCACTTATAACCGGAACTTACATTTGTAATTTATTTTTGTATCAATTTACCATGCTTGGAAATAATAATTGTTCCTTTTGTATAATTATTGTTCCTTTGGTATAATTTGAAGCTTTAGGTGTTGTATAGCAGTGCTTTGTAACAGCTGAATCATTCTTGTGTATCATTTCACAATTTCACCAGCTGTTACCAGTGTATTGACATGTGAAGTTAGTTACAGCTTTGAAAATAAGGTTGACTAATCTTTTGGGACTGTAAGTGCACCATGAAGCTGTAACAGTTAAAGTTTGTTTTTACAAGGGGGGATTAAGCTTGGAAGAACCCATATTTGCGGAGTTCCAGATAACAACTATTGGCTGGTGCAAATTCATTGATACCTTTGTCTGAAAGTCAATCCAAATTTGATTGATGCACTACAAATTTGCATCAGAAATTGCGTCAATAATATATTCCGGATAAACGGCATTACTGCACTATCTGTTGGGGGGTGGGGGGGGGTCCATGGGTCAGTGGATAGGGCCATTGACTAATCAAACCACTTGCCACTCACCTCTGTAGGTTCAGGCTGTGCCAGCATCTTTGTATTATCCATGTGAGAAAGCTATCCAGCTAGCTTACAGAATATCAGTTGTTCTACACAGATGCCCATTAAAAATTTTGTGCCTAAAATGATATACAGAAGGGCACCTGAAATCTTCCTCCAACAGTTAAAGCTGGAAAGTCACCATTCACACATGTGACCTACATTGTTGTGTTGAATGGTGTTAAACCCAACCATAAAAGACAAGAAAAAAAACTTACTGTTTCATTCATAGTTTCATCATAATTCTTTTGTGTAACATTTGTTCATTTGTGTTACATTCGTATCTCTGAAATCATTTAGATCCTAGTATCATGCAATTGAATTTTTTTCCAACAATCTTACTGTATTTACAAAAAATAAACCACAAAGCATAAAAAAAAGAAGAAAACATTAATTATTGGTTTAAGTAGAACATTCAAAAGAGGGAAACATTTAAAAGAAATAAATTGGATTTACAACTGTTAATCTTTTGAGTTGAAACATTTTGTCATTTAGATTTGACCACATGTTGCAGGGATTTGGTATTCTGTCATGTTACTAAGGAAGTTATTTGTGTGTGTGTGGGGGGGGGGTTAAGGTGAGTTATTTATGTAGGCATTCTTTCTTGGATGAGATAATTTCCTTCTTCCTAAGAAAAATCATCAATATGTAAGACTTTTAAATAAGAAAGACAACTCCTGATATTATACTTTTTGATAATAAGCAAGTTGTCTCCCTTTTTCCATATTTTGTCAAAAGAAATTAAATGAGTTTATGATTAAATAATGGGAGGTAACCCTTAATAAGCAATATGAATGCTGTATTGATTTTTCTTTAATAGATGATTGTCCTTCAATGTTGTTTGTGATAAAAATGATTAAAATGCTGACATGGACAAGTGGAAAGGTACATTTATTTTAAAGGACTGATGAAAAACAAGACACATTTATTAAAGACAAGTTTTTGTCATAAAATAAAATGGCTTAATCCAAGTAAAAGCTGGGCTTTAAAAAACAGATGAATTTGAAAAATCTTTCAAGAACAATCTCGTTATCAATGTTTATTAAAGAGATTTTTTCTTCAGCTCTGCTAAATGTTTCCCTAAGACCTTTCTGATGAATTAAGTACGGCGAAATCTCGCGCTAATTGTCCGGGAATGTAGCGCCATTTAATTATTAGCGAGAGAAACAGAATCCTTCTCACTGATAATTTGTTTTAGTCTAATGTAACGGGCCTGATAGCGATTTGTGCCTGATTTGCGATGTATGAATCTATCATCTGAAGTTTTTAGCGTGCCGTTGACAGACTATGTAAACAGAAATCCAAGAGAGCTTGAACCTGGTTTGTGATTGAAATTGATTATTTTTCCATATTTATTCGTACGGGGTTAAGTTTCACGAGGTGATTAGTGAAACAAGACACAGAAATTGATTACTACGTGTTTGATTTTGTTTCTTTGGTTCGTAGGGAAAATTAAAAACATTTTTTAAAGCATAGCGTAACTGATTCCAATTTCGGACATTTGATTGGAGCGATAATGAATTTTATATTGCAGGAATTTAATGTTGAGTATCATTGTATGATAAGGGGGTCAGATTTAATTATTTTCCTATATTTCTTATTTTCAACATTTTGTTTCAGTTTCTGTGCCTACATTATGCCACAAACATTTTTAAGATGGCCTCCCTATCTCAAGGCATATGTGTGCCCACTGGGCCCCCTTTCAGACAAAGCTAGATTAAACACTGTAATTAAACCAATTTTCTGAAAGGTGATGTATCATCAAAAATAAGAGCAAATAATAATGTAGAAATAAAATTGCAGTACAAAAGGCCCGCCAATGTTTTTATTGATCTTACACAAGTTTGTTGCCAAATGTCTAAATTATGAATTTAGTTTGTTAGTTGTGGAAAAGCTACTTTCTGCCAAAAATATCTTTGACATTTATAATGCTTTAATTTTCAGTTATAAAACTTTGATAAGGAATATAATGAAAAGAAATTTATAAAGCAGTAATTCTAAATGTGTTAAAAGTAAGTGTTGAAATACCAGCTTTCTCTCTTCACCTGGCACTATTTGTAAAAAAAAATTTTTTTTGATAACTCAACAATAACATGGGATATTTTTAGCAATGATTTAACAAATAAAGTACAGAATCGTCAATGAAGTAATTAAGCCCGGATTGATATACTGTAGTAGTTTATATTTGCAATGACAAGTTTATTGTCGAACAGTACGGTATTAAATGACTGCCGGTCTTTGATTGGTCTCGATTTAATTAGCGATTGTCATACATTTTCCAGCCTTTTCGTCATTGTCCTGTTCAATTGGATGTTCAGGCTGTGTGGCTTTTACAAATCTATCTCCGTGTTTGTTCCCATCTGATATTTAATTTCGGTCCTATTGTATAGCCCTTGAAGCTAAATAAACTCATATCTTCTAGATTGATTCGTATTTAGAGAATCAAGTTTTCTCGTTCTCCGCTTCTGCATCTTTACTCTCGGCAAGTATTTAAACATTTTTCAACACTATGCAAGTTTACTAACTGATCGAAAACAGTTGATACGCTCAGATTAACAGTTGTTAAATACATAAAACGGTTTGTTACGGGCAAATATCTTATTTATCTATCAAACAACAGCTAGAATTGTGAACAAACACAAGCTATTTGGCTGTAAATATTTTCATTGTTCCTAAATGAACATTTGATTAAGATCTGTAAACTTTACACGGAGCACATGTAAATACTTGGCAATAATTGCTAAGAAAATAGATAGATGCTTTTTAACAATATTTGATGATCGAATTTTATGTTTACTGATAGAATGATATGTATGTGGTTTTTTTTTCTCTTTCTATTGGTACAGCAAATAGAAATGAAAATATTTGTGTTGATCGAAGAGTTTGCAATAGATAGTTTTCTGTACCGGAATGGCAGTACACATGGCTTGAAATTTGGGAAAAGTATTTGATTTGGGAATTTAATGAAATAACCTGCTGAAAATTTAAAGATTATGAAGAGTCTAATAAATAATTTAATGAAATTACAAGTATGTCGAATAAATCAGGTATATATACTGGAAAAGCACAAAGTATCTATTTTTGCAGAATTTAGTATTATTTTTTAACAAAAGAAATATGGAAAAGCATATTGTTTTAACATTGGAATTGGGATTTATTGTCATTAAATTAAATGTAGATTATCAGACTCTTTTATATACCCCTAAATCATGATAATAAATCATAATAATTAATATGACATCATTTATCACAGTGTGAAAATAACAAGTTCTTTATTTTTGTTGACCCATTGTATATTTTTTTCCCAAAAATTAGGAAAATCTGGTATTAAATTTGATTAGAAATAGGGTCATAGAATGATGTTAATAACAGACAGTTATAAAAAATTTAATGTTTAATAAAATAATAGGACTAGAATTATTGTAAATTTGGTTTTTCATTACAGCCAACAAAACATGGAAAAAAAGGAGAAAAAGGAGCTGGAATCCACGGATGTGAGGAACAAAAGGGGGAAAACTGCCAAAACTCCCCAAGGTTCCCCTAAACATTCACCAGAACCATCCCCGAAGTCTACCAGGAGAAAATTGAGTAATATTTTTTTAATATTTTTTTTTTCCAATTGTAAATGTATTGAAACATTTTTGAAGTAAAAACTGTAACAAATATGAAATGGAAAAGCCATTTAATGATACATAATAATTATATCTGTCATATGTTGCTGTTTGGATTGAAGTATCCAATCCAAAACGCAAACATATATCAGATACTTTTTCTTGCATATTCTACCGTATTCCATCATATTTTAAATTCTTTACTTTAATAAAACAATTTTCCATTGAGTTTTATGTAATACACTGTAACTATTTTCTTGTATGAAATTACAACTTCTTTCATAACAGCAAAATTACATCATCCTAATTAAGCATGCAGTTTAATTCGTAAATACTGACGTCATTTTAGAATGGTTTGTTTTTAAAATGCACTAAAATGACATCGTTGTATAGCACAGGACTCATCTGGCACTCCCATTGAAATCTAATGAGTATTAGATAATGGAGACTGAACTTGGATATTTAATGTGTATAAGACTGAACTCTAATATTTTAAGAATCTTATACACTTGTTACCTTTTTCAGATTATTCAGGTGACAGAAAATCATGCTCCAGTCCCCAAAATGTTGAAGAAACTCAGTCAAACAGGGAGAGAGCATCTACCCTTCCTTTTACAAATATACCTTCACCTTTACGTGGGTATTATGGACATCCTTTTGGTGCTAGCCCTTATATGCCATACACTGGAAGCCTTCTTTCTGGCAACTATCCAGGTCTGTCAGGAAATCCATTTATGCATTCCACTCAACTTTTACAACCATCAGCTTTACAACGACCTATGACATCTCCAGCATTAAATTCAAGTCTTGGAGGCTTAGGGTTGTCAGAGCGCCACCTTTCTCAGTCTGTTTCTGTCCCTACCTTGGCAGGGGCTGCTACTCTGAACACATCTCCAGATAACCAAACTACAACAACAACCGGTGCTACAGGAGGTCAGAGTTTAGATCCTGGATTTGGTGCAAGTGCAAATTTGTCAGATTATTATAAACAATATTACCCAAGGCATACTTCTATTCTTCCTGATCCACCATTTATGGCGTCTGCTTCACCCAGATTGCACTACGGGTCCGGAACCAGTCCAGGAGCAATGGCAGCAGGGACCAGTCTAGACCCAGATCAAAACAAGCATATAACCAGTCTTCTCAATGAAATAGATTCACAGAGACAGGAAGCTAAAAGGGTAAATTGTAAAAAAAAATTCATTATCCATAATTATTGACTTTAAATTTATCATAAAACCAAAGTAATAAAGGAAAGGATAAAAAAATGTGGTTTGAATTTGTTATCAGACTAAAATGTTCCTTGTACGTTATTAAGGGATTGTGTATTTCATTGAAGGTTTCACTTTTAAATTTATTAATTGCTTTTGAATGTACGGTGTGTTTAGGTACATTATCTTAAGGTTATTATATTGAAGGAAACTGCTAATATATGACCTAAAGTCCAAATTCTGCCATTAATTATTCAGGACTTTGGTTTGAAGTTATGGGAGAATTAAATTCCTTAAAGAAAAATTTACCTTTAATTTGTTCCGACAGAATTTATTAACCTTTTTATCTGGGTTTTTTTTTATAACTTTTCTTGCAGTATTACAAATTTAAAACAACATTATTTGCAATAAGAACTCCTTGCTTCGGATTGGTCCACATCATTCTTTAAGCCAGAATTTGAAAATAACCAATCAGAGTGTTTACAGCTCAGACTGGTATCCCCACAATATTTACACAGAATATATGAGAACCTATCCCTTTTCAATAATTTCAGATAAGAAAGGCAATTATTTTTCTAGAAAAAGAAAGTTCAATACATAAGCAAGAAGGCAAAGTCTTCTGTGATAAAAGAAACCTTACAAAATGTTTTCCAGTAATATTTAGTCTCAGAGACAGATTTCTGTGAGTAAAGTGCATCCATTTTATTGCCCTCATGCTTAAGTATACTTATTATGAAACAATTCATTATCTCTAGTCGTTATTCTTCAGTTGAAGAATGAACTTAGAGACAAGGATGCTGAGCTGGAGATGCTGAAATTGACCCTCAAAACCAAAGGATTAGATCTGAACTCTGACCCCACGGATGCCCATAAAGCTGCAGGTAAGATTTTTTTGGACCCCACAAATATCCAAATTTTTTAATATATGTGTTTTTGTGTAGTTGTTTCATTTATTGGACGTGGGGGTAGGGGTGGCGGCATTTTCACAATTGTTTCTTTTGAGATATTTTGTTAAGAGTATGTTTTTTTAATTCGAAACAGTTATGGAAGTAAATTGTTTTCATATTTTAAGAACTTTTTTATGTTGTGAGGTTTTATGTTAGACTGACAACTGTTTCAGTCACTGGTGACTTCATAGCATTGCATTGTGGGTGAAAATCATCAAAAATTATAATCTTAACTGTTGTTACTCTATGTATGTTATAAATATTCATAGGAAACTAGGCTGATAAAGCTTATATGAGTAAAAGAATTTTGTAAAACTCAGTGGAAATATTGTCAATAAATATTTCAGATGTACACCTCATAACTATTACCCCTAAATTTTATATAATGGAGTTGTCCTGCTTTGAATTTGGAGGAGTTCATTTTTAGTTTGAGAGATTTTAAGATGGAAAAAAAAGAACTAAAAAATTTCAGTCATAAGTTATCAGGTCTTCTGGACAGACTGCATGCATTTTCTAGTCTGGTATGGCACTGTATGGTTTCATAGGCCTACTATTTTCTTCACTGTCATGAAATGTTCACAAAGATAACATAAAAATGATGATAAAATGATAAAATCAAATTGATTCTCAAGTTTATCATAGTTTTGTGATGTAGGGTAATTTTATTCCTATTTTATTCCTTTTACGATAAAAAAAATGACAAATGGTTTTAGTAGAGATTCCATATTCACTGTGTATTGGATATTTTAAAGTCCATTTTTTGTTGTTATTTTTTTTGACAATGAATAAGTCGAAGAAAAACCTATTTATCAAGTTATCAAGTATGATGTAGCAACGGGCGTATTGATTGACGGCTGGTCTGACAAGCAATAACTCGCGATCAGGTATAACGGCAATCTACCTCTCATCTCCGCGTATTGATTCTCCGCAGACTAATTGTGCGGCCAATCATCTTGTATTGTGAAGCAATATTTCACTTTGAAGTTTCGCCGCAGCTTATGTAAACATAATTCATGATGGGAAATAGCTTTCCTGGCAAATTCTGTTCCCCAGCATGTCTCCGGGATTACGTTGTGTAAATTACGAGTTGGAAGATAGAGGCAGTTAGGCAGACAACATTTCCTGAAAAGCGCCCCCTACTAGAAACATGCTGTCATTTATTAAACAGCAATATATTTGCGTGTTAGAAATGTTGGAATTAATATTCAAAAGACACAATCATTGTTTTCTCCATGAGGCTAATGAAAAACATTTTTTTTTTATGAAATAAAATGAAAAATATGGAATTGAGATATTAAAAATGCAGATAGTAATCATTTTATTTTACCGGTAACAACGTGTGAAGGATAAGATCCTTAGTGATGAAAATTCTCCATATTTAAAAATTAATTTGTGAATTCATTATGATAGCCAGTTAAAATGTTGGTTTATTTGATAGTTTTTTGTCTGAATATTTTAAGAAATTATATGGCATATCCCCCTACTGTGACCACACCCAAGAATAAATAGATATTTTCCCACAATTCTTTTCCTAGCCTTGATGATAATTTTGTTTACTTATTTTTAAATCATGTTTAATGTTAAATTCTTAATAAAATTGTTGAAACATGTTACATGTATTATATCTTTTATTGCTTTTTAGTATTTCTTTAATGCAGTAAAGCATCATTTAATTAGAGTGGCTGCCATTTAATTTTTTTGTCATATCGTAATCTATCAAACTTACCATAAACAGTTGTAAAATTAAAGCAGGATAAAGTCCATTTCACAAATTCAGCAGCATGGTACTTTTATCTGTTTCAAAAATTCAGATCATAACTTTGTTGTGAAATTCATTTAAAAGCTTGCATACCTTTCTAAAATTTTCACCTTCGTACATTATGTAACATTCTGCACAGATTACATGGGGAATTTTTTTTTTCTATGAGTATCTTAATTGGTGTTTCTATTAAAACCAGCTCATGCCAAGTCCCTGCCATATTTCCATTCAAGTTATATCTAACCATCTAACATTGTTAATGGGTTTTAGATGGGCAAAACCAGTCATTTCTGTTTGGCAATGGGAGACCTCGGCTATTGCCACCTTGTGAACCTTGTCTCCAAGGACGTTTGCATTATGTTTATAAATTATAGGATTATGTTTTTTTTTTAAATTACACTTCAAACATAAACTGTATGATGACGCTGGGTTACCTGTATTAAAAAAAAAAATGGGGAAAAAATATATATGAAAAATTAATAGTTTGGGTGTCCGGAATTAATTAAATCTGTTTGATTAATCCGGATCGTGGATGGATTTTTTTTATTTAATTTTTTTGTTTTTCGCACTCAGATTTGATATTTGATCGCTATGGCACAGAGTGATTTACATTTTAATATCAATTTAATTTTCCTTGTATAGAGACGTTAATTGTTAGAAACAAAGGATTTTTACAGTCGTTGTTAACATGAAAGCGTATAAAAACGTGTAAATTAAAGTAATGCGTCACCTTATCTGAATGTACGATCAATTTCATATCCATAATGCCAATATAAAGTTCGAAATCTTCCTTTTATCCGCATAGAGACAAAAGGATTATATGTAGATAATATTGAAATAAAAACGAGGTGTTAATGTCGGAATTTTTATAGTCTGAACTATCAAAGATGACGCCCCGATTTATTGGTTTCATATGAATTCTCTATATTTCATTTAATGTCCAAGACCTTTGATAACTTATAGTGATTTTTCATAAATTCATGAAATTGATTTTTTTTTTCTATAGTTTTGATTTATAAGTTGATTTTAAATGGGTGCAATATAATCTTTTAAAAGTGTTATTGTTTTACAGATTGATGTCATATGAATATAATGATAATTGTCATATAAATTAGATGTCCTCTTTAATTGATATCCAAACTATTTCCGTAACTCTAATATATAGATTTAAGTGAAATTTTTCTGCATGTTTAGGCAGACCTTATGTATTCATAAATAAAGCAGCAAAAAACAACAATCTTTCAATATTTTTTTTTGTTTAAATAGTATCTTTTATGACATAGTCTGTATAAAATTTATAACAAGTAAAATTGTTTTGTTCCCATCTTTCTTATATTGAAGAATTGTAACAGAATGACTCTGTTATTTAACAAACATGGATATTTTACAATGTATGTATAAAAAAAATACAGAGTAAAAATGTTATGATGGTATTTTGATAAAAGTTTTCTAAATAAATTAGCAATGATTTCATGGGTGAGACATTTAAATCCATTAAATTCACAACTAATGTAGTAAGTGCATCAGATACAATTCAGGGGATGTCTATATAAGTTAGGTGGTTAAGGTTGTTGATTCAAATTACTTGCCCCTTAATGCTGTGAGTTCAAATCCCACCAGGGACTTTGGATTCTTTCATGTGAAAAAGGTATCCAGCTAGCTTACAAAGCATCGGTTGTGTCTGAAAGACTGCACGAAACGGCACCTGAGGTCTTTCTACACAAATAAAGCTGGAGAGTCACTGTATGACCTATACTGCGTTGGTGCGACATAAAACCCAACAAGATAATTTACCTGTATGTAGGAAATGGCTTTTTTACTTATGGCCAAATTTAGCCCTGTCTCAGAATTTAAGCTTAAACATGATGGGCTTTGGTTGATTATTTCTTATTCATACTAAACTTTTGTTTTGTTTGTAGATCTGGTAGAAGAGGTTTACGCTGCCCAGAAGAAGCGCGATGAGGCGACAGTTGCCAGGATGAAGATAGCCAATGAGGAGAGAGATGACATATTGGCAAGGTTACATCAGCTTGAAATGAGGCTTGATTCTCACAGGTATGTAGTTACCTCCCTTGTTTAACTTTTATACCAGTAATGTAAAGCTATTTATTGAACCATTCTCTTTGAATTTTAATAGTGAATTGGATAGTTTAACAAATTTTGGATAGGAATCAAGCTCTGAATTCAAAACTTGATTAAAGAAACTGTATACCGGTTATAAATCATCCTTTTCATTGATTAGTTTTAATGAAAAATGATATAGATTTGGACTGAAACAAACTAAGTACTTGTTCAGATTTATAGAAAAAACTGATGACCTTGTTTACTGAATTCCTTACCTAGACTTAAATGTTAAAAAGGTCACAAAACTTTTATCTACAAATTATTTTCTCACATTCAGTTATCAAAGCTTATTTTATTTTATAGAGATGAAGGTTCAACGTTTATGGAACGATCTGATTTAGATTTACAACTGGATGAAGATCAGATAGAAAATGAGGTATAGTCTCAACTCTTACCTGCTGGAAGTAAAAAATTATAAGCTTTTGCAGTTGCCATTAAATTAGATCCAGACCAGCCTGCCTACATATGACCTTGACAGTGTTCACAGTTACTATAAACCCAACTAAAGAAAAATAAAAGTGAAAATTTTGATTTAAGTTTATCAAATGATTAAAGGTCACTGCTGTTTTTGCATGTTTTAAGATAATCATTATTGTTGTTCTGAAATTACTTTGTGAGGTGAAATTTACAATTTAAATCCTGAAGAAGTATTCCCTTATATAAACATGGGAGATGTCATAGTTATGAAGTTCATAGGGCCTTTGTTTAACCTTTTTGGACTGACAGCAAAAAAATATTGACAGTATAGACTTATATCAGCATTTATATTCTTCTCTTTACCTGTTGTCTGCAAAAATTATAATTCTGCACATGAAACCCCTTTTATTTACAATAGACCAGTCTACTTTTAAAGCAGGTAGAGTCCATGTTGCAAAAATTGTCATGAAAAAGGTATGTTAAATTGACTCAGACAGTAAACCTACTTTACAAACAATTTACCCATACAATTTCATTTTATCAAAAGTACATGAACAATGAAGGTGTCTGGTATTGAACCAGATATAACACAGCCCAAAGTTTTTTTTTGAAAATATTTTTTGCTTTGTATCTTATTTGAAAGCATTCGTTCTAAAAGATTCCCATTTTTCACATCGATTTTTTATTCTGCGCTTCTTTGTCGCAATGGTTTGCCGTTGAACGGCAAAGTTTAATTTTGGATTCTGCTATTCATTCTGCACGAAAGTTGTATTTTATAATTGATTAAGCCGTGAAAGAACTGTATGATTATCAATTTTACATTGACAGTGACAGTGTTTCAGTTATTAAATAAAATATTGTTGATATTGATTGATAATAAAAAAAGTTAATAAGTAGGCCAATTAATATGTAGGACATCGGAGATACATATAAAATAATTAACACATTTTTGCATAGTTTATTTAGTTTGTTTAAAGAAAGTTTAGTTATCAAGTAGCCAACAGTGCAAATATTAATGTTTTTGTTATTTCGTATTTCTGTATTTGAATTTGTTTATGGACACAGTATGCAAAATTTGTCTAAAATTAAAAAAGCCCCAAATAAAAGCCACAAAAAACAACAACAACAGTGTGCTATATATAGCCATAATTTGTCTTCCCTTTGACTCTTAACCTGTTACTGGCAACTTGCATGAATTTTCACAGAGTTATTTCCCTTTGTGAATTTGTGAACTTGTTCTTACTACCATGAATTGGAAATAGTCTAGCATACTGTCACTCATTTGACAGCTCCTTTCTGAAGGTTTTATTGCAATTTGACCACATATTAAACACAATATACATGGTTGTAGGCTCTGCAAATTTTTACCAAATGTATTAGTTGTTTTTGAAAAAATGACTCAAAAATTGTTTATATTTTCAGCATATGTATTTTACTACTGTCGAAACTTGACTCACAAATTGTTTACATTTTTAGCATATGTATTTACTCTTGACTCACAACTCGTTTTAATTTTCAGCAAACGTATTTACTGCTGTTGAGACTCGACTCACAACTTGTTTATATTATTAGGATAAGTATTTGTTGCTGTCAAGAATTGACTCACAACTTGTTTATTTTTTCAGGATATGTATTTACTGCTGTCGAGACTGGACTCGCAGTCATCGGGAGATAAAGACATTGCAGCATTTACCAGGAAGGTAGAAGAGATGAGACAAAAGCAACGGGAGGTTACTCAAGAAGAAATGCAGATTGTTATGGAGCAAAGAGATGTTGCCCTGGCTAAGGTAAGCAAATAAAACATGCATATATGCCCCTATTACCTCAAAATTATAAAAAAATAAATGTTCCACAGGAGTTAATTTGTTCCTTATATATATTGACAGAACATTGAAAGTAAGATAAAAAAAATGTTTTATAAATATAATACATATAATCATTAATCCAGTGATTATTTTGAAAATAATGTTTATCTAATTTGCATATTAAACAGACAGCAGTATGACCAAAAAATAAATAGAGAATAACATGCTACTGTCTTTTGATATCAATTTTATCAGGCGAGGCTGATATGGGCTAGAAAGGGCGAAGACAGTAGACAATTGTTTGTGTATGCCTCTATTTATTGCAATGTAATTCACAATAATAAACTGTTAATTCAAATAACATAACTAATATTTCTTTGTCGCACTCGGCGATTAAAAGATACCAAACAGAAATGTTTAGTGCTCATACATAACGAATGCATTCTTGACCTTTATTATTTTTAAAACATCGATCCAAAAATCCGCTAAGAATCACATAAACTAAACTTTACTGCAATTTTTGTCTTGAATTGTCAAATTCAAAAGTTCACGATAATTTCAATCAAATAAAAGTCAAATCGGCAATCAAACACAAGCTACACAAACATGCATCTTATTTTTTAAACGAAACAATTTGTTCACTTATTAAATAATAATCCGGCGAAATAAAGTTAACATTTACAAGTTCTCAAAGAAAATCGTCTAGCCTGTTTGTTATGATTACATGTATAGTATGATGTGAACATCGATGATGTCATTTGCAATATAAGTTATGACGTCACTTCATTTAGTTGGTGCTAAAACTATTCGCTATCTAATTTATTCGTAATTGAAATCGAAATAATAAATAAATAAATTTCGCATATTGATTCAAGACTTGTAAGGGTATGAGATTACATTGTAGAATTCACATGCTGATGAAAATGAGAATATAAGCAATTGAAAAAAGTCCGTTAAAATGGGCCGGGCTAATTTTTGATATCAGGTTACTGACGTGATATCAAAAATAATTATCAGGCAAGTGTTATCGGGCAGTTACCATAGCAATTGCATGATAAATTTATTCTTTTCCTTATACAGTTGGAACTTCAAACTTTATATGTAAATACACCTTGATGAGTTCTTAGTAATCCACATTACCTATTTTGATCAAAGAACAAGGTCACTGTGATCTCTAAAGCATTCTATATTTCAATTATTAACTTTGCAGCACTTAAAAGTGGAAGATGATTTCTGGGGGTAGGTCACGTTAAGCTTAAATTATAAAGCAATTTTATATTTAGAAAACTTTCCATTTTCTTGCTTATGTAGTGCCGAAAGCTAGAGGAAGAACTTTTACGTTACCAGAAAGAGCGGGACGCAGATGGAGGCATGGACAAATCTATAAGGGTAAGAATTTGAGCCGCGTCACGACAAAACCAACATAATGGGTTTGCAACCAGCATGGATCCAGACCAGCCTGCGCATCCGCGCAGTCTGATCAGGATCCATGCTGTTCGCTTACCAACCCTTTTACAAGTAGAGAAACTGATAGCGAACAGCATGGATCCTGATCAGACTGCGCGGATGCGCAGGCTGGTCTGGATCCATGCTGGTCGCAAACGCACTATGTTGGTTTAGTCATGACGCAGCTCAAAAATTGTGAAGATTTCAGTAAAATGATATTGTCTCTTGTCAAAACTATTTTCTCACCTTTTTTATCTCATCCATCCTCCTTACCCCACTGTGATTGTGTTTCCCCCAAAATGAGAAATCAAAAATGGCTTTCTGTTAGACCTCAGTGGAATTCCTTTAAGGGTGTTAAACATGGGTTTTCATTTTGATTTAAAGAATGTGCATCTCTTGTTTAAATTACTGAAAGTCACTGGGTGGCTTAAAATTGTTGCAGGGGCTTTTATCTGACTATCCAGTTATAATGAAACCCCTGTTTTAATCTAGTATATTCAAATTGTTACTAAATCCCCTATTATATATAGATATGGTATAGATATTTCTGCATTTCTTACAATTTCAAGTATTTCCATATGATTAACATACTTTACAACCTATGGTACCTTATTATGATTCATCTATGGAATATGTTTAACAATACAAACTCTGTTAATATTCTGAACTTTTGCACAGCTTTATTTTTTCCATATTTTGATCTAGTTTTAATCAACCTTAAATCTACATAGTTTAAGATAGGGATCAAGCTATAGTGAAATTTTGATACATTTTTTCGTATTTCTTTGTCCATAAAATGCTCTGTCACGAAACGATATTTATCATCCAAGGTTTGAAATGCTCTTTTATTATCCAACAATATTTACTTGTGGCTTATCAGCTTTTCCTTTTGTTTTTAGAAAGATGAAACTTTGATATTTTCAAATCATCGGTATTACCAATACGTCAGGATAATGCATTAAAATATTTGAAATTCAAGATTATTGAAAGGGTGTTTAGCTACATATATATTTTTATATTTCAAATAGGATAAAAACTGGTGAAATAACGAGATTTTAATAGGGGAAAAAAATAAAATTTTAAACATCTGTTGAGTAAAGATTAGAAAAATGAAGACAGAAATTTAAAGGGTTATGAATTTGTTTTAAAAAGTCCCTTAAAGGTTTCAGTGTTATTTTCTTTTTTTGAAGAAAATCCCTTAAATTTATACCTTGCAAAAGATAAAATTTCAAATTTTTCTACAAAATCCCTTTTATTAGATAAATGATAAAAAGTGAACTACACCCTTACCTTAGTGCAGTAATAGGTTAACTCCTATTAGATTATATAGGGTGTTAAACCCATTACTGCACTAAGTAAATGACATGTACTGTATTTATTCTAAGAAAAAGCCTAAACTACTGATTGTTGCTTATGCAGGACACTTGGTTAAAATTATGGATGCAATGTTTAATTTCATTTACCAGTTAAATGTTTGCTTGAAATTATTATAATGATTATTCCTCACTATGTGGGAGCCATAACTCTGGCATATACATTTACTTTTATTATACCCCTTCTTGATCTTAGAAAATTACCTGTGAGCAGATTTTCCCCACATCTGCTGATGGTACTTGTATAATCCATTGAAACTTAACACCTGGCTGTTTGGGGCATAATTTTAGGCATTTGACCAAAGACCCAAAACCTTAGCAAAGATTATTTTACTGAATTACTTCCCTTTGTGAACTCTTTGTGAACATTTTCTCTTTATAAGGTACTTTTCTCTTTATACGTTTTTTCTTTATATCAGTGACAATTATTACAATTAATGTTTAAAAATTTAAATATAAAAATATACAAAAATTTATAAAATAAAAATTTATAATTTACCATGTTCAGCAATGGTTAGGGGAAGTATACTTCAACCATCAGTTTCAGGTCTCATTGCACTATATATATAAGACGCGTCACGACAAAACCAACATAGTGGGTTTGCGACCAGCATGAATCCAGACCAGCCTGCGCTTCCGCGCAGTCTGATCAGGATCCATGCTGTTCGCTATCAGTTTCTCTACTTGTTATAGGGTTGGTAAGCGAACAGCATGGATCCTGATCAGACTGCGCGGATGCGCAGGCTGGTCTGGATCCGTGCTGGTCGCAAACCGATTATGTTGGTTTTGTCATGGCACGGCTCATATATCTTTATGCATGTATATCAATTAAAATTATGCGCTTCTTAATTGTACCTGGCCAGAGACCTTAACCTATGTACGGGATAGTAAGAGAAATGAGTCAAAATGTTACATTCTGTTTGTCCCAGGCACTCTGGATGTATGTTGCGTAAAGGGCCTTCACTTTGAGTTTGGTACTCATCTCCACTATACCACAAGGTTTAAGGGCCGGGAAATCCATAAGACTAGTGCATGACTGCAGTGTAGGGAAGAGTATGTGATTTATAAAAACATTAATAGAATATTATTGCATTCCAAATTGAGCATGTTTTTGTTAAATCATTATGGATGAATAAAAAAACAATCCACCATTACAAAATTATTTTGGATTTGATCTTTGTCTAGACTGAAGAAATTAATATAAGATTTGCACCAAGTCCACCCCCAGAACCACTGTCACGGTGAGTAACGCACATCATGCACGAGTGTTTTGTGATATTTCGAAAATATTCACTGAAGACACTTCCTTGTGAAAAAGGCATTAGAATAAGACCAAGGATTCATGTAGGAGGAATGAGTCAAGTTTTGATTTTAATTTATTTTGTACGGTACCTGTTAGATTTTAAGAGCTTTCAGGAAATGAAATGTTCAGAATAAAGCATATTTATTTAAGCTCAATTGCGAAACAAGTTCTTGCAACTTATGTTAATCACTTTCGAGTCTGCTTCCTGGAACTAACCAGAGGAACTAACCAGTCGTGACCTGAGAAGGTCTCGAACCCATGAACCATTGGTCGAGAGGCAGACACCTAAACTACTAGGCCATTGCTCTCATTGGATTTCAGTCTGTTCTGACTGATTGTTTAAACGGTTCAATTTTGATTTGTACATATGCACATGGTGGCAAATGGTGACAATTCCTTAGTCTCGCGACATGGAAGGGAGCCTCACATTGTATAATTTTTTTAATATTGAGGTTACTTACTTTTTAAATGTATTAGAATCTGATGTGAGATGAGCACATAATGGCGTTTAAGGGCTATGGCTTTATAACTTAATTCTTTAGCAATGGTATTGGTCTAACCTTTAAAGGGACTCCACTGAGGGTTTTCGGACATGACATAACTGGAAATAATTTTTTTAGACTATTGTTTGTTTGAAGTAAGTCTACTGGTTGGGGACCAACAAAACCGGACAACCACCAAAACCGGACGGCTCAGAAAATGCTAAATTTAGTATTTTCTTTGTTCAGTGGTTGTCAGTTACTTTTTATCAACAATAAATGCATGTTTCTTCTAAAATTAAGTAAATAAATTTATTTCAACCTCCGTAAATGGTAATATTTTAATGTCTATTTCAAGAATGTTGACGTTGAAATTTGGGGGTCAAGAAAGCAATGCCTGACCTCATATACCAACTATAATCATTTGCAAAGTAAACAATAGAATATCCAAAACTTCAGCATTTGTTGCTGAAATATTGTATAACATGTTAAAAATCAAAAATTAAAACACCCAAGCTTTTATCTGAATTAAATCACATCATGTACATATATGTCCGGACACATGGTACTGTAGTGAAGACATTTTAGGTAATTTTTATACCCCCCTTTTCGAGCCTCAGATATAAGTGTCAATACAATCAGAAATAGACAAACTAGTTTGTTAGTTAGGAGAAGAACCTAGCTGAACTGTTTCAAATTCTTAGGTCTCTAGGTTAAAAATTATGAAATCTGTACGGAAAAATGTTCAAAAAGTGTCCGGTTGATGGTCCCCGACCAGTAGACCAATAACTTTTGCAAAAATTCAGATCATTTGCTCACTCCGTTTTTCAAGAATAAGAATTTTACTTTGAAAATGATCTGAAATTGAAAAGTGTTGCAATGCTTTACACACAAATCATGCTGATGAAGCTTTTTACACAAATCGGGCTGAAATGAGCACAAAAATACAATTTACAATTTATTTCTGAGTATATTTCTTAATTATATTATGCATATCTATTTGTTTAAAGTGCCCAAGCAGATCTGTATAATATATTCAAATTTTATGTTAGGCTTTTTGACCTCATTTGAGTTCCTTTAAAAAAACTGCTCAATATGTGTAATAGATTTGATCAGTTTTGAATTTTGATAAGTCAATTCAAACTTTTAGTGATTTCAAATTAAAAAATAAAAGATAAAGTAATACCAATAGTATAGAGCCTGGTCAAACTGCACAGACGCCCAGGCTGGCCTGGCTATATTCAGTGTTACCAAAGGCTTATCTTGTCCAGTTCCAACAAGTTACGTCAGTTAAACCAATTATAGTAACAGATGTGGTGGCAACAAGATTTATATATGCCATTAAATATTTTAGTGCAATTCAATAAGATATGAACTAATGTCGCCAATGATTTTTTCTGCAGATTTATTTATTAGAGGTGTTGGAGTGTATGCACTTTGCCAGATAATTGGGCGGAATTTGGTTAAAATTGTAGAAATTAGCGGCAGCTGATATGATGATAATTTATGATGGTTGAAGTATAGCATTTAGTAGTGTGTTATGCATTTATGCGTCACTTTTAGATATCTTATTGAATGTGTGCGTAGATCTTAAGTTAACACTAGTTCAACATATTTATAGGATTGTTCATGATTTGGCGAGGGAGTTTTCAATATGTTCATGTATTTCTTGTTGTAGTGTCATACATTCAGATCATGATGGTGTGGGGGTTTTTTCTTCATGAAAGTTTAAGAATTATTTTAAAACGTACAAATGAGCCGCGTCATGACAAAACCAACATAATGCTT